TGAAAAAAAAAAATGTTTGTGGTTTTGAGGTCCAGATTTTAGATCATTCTGTATAATGGACATCCGAATTTCGGGCTTTAAGTGTAATTGGCAACCTTAAAAACATTTTGGATGCAGTTTCCGAATTTAGATTTGACTGAACTAAGCCTTATTCTTGAATAAGGTTTAAAAGATCTGTTTTGCTTTAGTAAATGATCTGAATTTTTTTTGCTTTTTTGTTTGTAGATAAAAAGGGTCCTAAGAATTATCTCATAGTCGGCTTTTAGACAAAGCTCTTCGCAGAAGCCCACTACGAGTTGATTCATACAGATATGCTTTAACTTGTCGCCTTGATACAGCTAAAACAAGCATTATGCGAGTAAGTAACTCGAGCGGTACAAAAGTGGCAAGTCAAGAAACTACGAGATAACTCGTATTGGGCATTCTAAAGAAGAGCGCTAGTACAGTTATCTCATGTTGGGCAGTCAATGTGTAAAGCTAAATTTTTACATTCCTCAGAAATATTTTCTCTCATTTTTGGTAGGGATTATCTTTCTATAATATTTGTTTGTTTAATTCACTGCAGGAAAGAACACTGGCTTTTTGCTTAAAAAGAAAAAAATGCCTTACTGGGCAAATTTCTGAGGAAAACTGCCTCGTATTTATATTTCACATGGACGAAACAATGAAAACACCCATGTAGCCAACCAATTCGCTGCTACTTTATGTCTGTTAATCCTTCTCTTAAGCATGCAATTGTATGTGTATTTAAAAATTTTTTAATAAAATTATGAAATAAAGTGATAAATGAAATTATGAAATACATGATAATGCTTTTTCTGTCAATTTGTTAATAATAACTTTTTTTTTTAAATTTGGGTAATTGATTAGAGAAAAATATGACAGTTGTGCAAGCACTGAAGACTTATAGAGGCCTTTTATTGATTTAAATGTGTTATTTTAAAATGGTGATACTCAATACATTTTAAAACTGAAGATATCATAATTTATTTCTTAAATGTATTTTTAAAATTTTATAACTAATTTGGCACTTCTCTAAGTTAGTCACCTGAGACAAGTAAGGCACTGGCCTCCATCTGTGAGACAATATATTGCTTCAACTTCATTTCTCAGCAAACCTTATAAAACACATGATGCAAGATGAAATAAAATTTTAGATAGACAAATGTTGTCGAGAGATATTTCCCTGGGAAAATATTATCTCTTGTTTCAATTGAGGTTAAAACAAAAAGGGTATCTTTGCTTTCTTTGGGGGAGGAAGAGATAAATTCACATCTTTCCAAAAAATTCTGGAACAGTTGTCAGAGTAACTGTGTTTTTTGTAACGTTCATAAGAAAGCCTAGTCATGAGTGATATTGGCAATATGCTAGTGGATATACAAGTGCTGTATTTTAGGATATACAAGGTGCTGTATTTTATGAACAAAAATAATTTTTGTTACCTCAGATTATGAGTACCATGTCCCAAGCAGTTTTTTCAAACAGAAAATGTCTTAGTGATAAATATTGTCTGTATTAATGAGTATGCAAATTAGCAATAAATGATACTCGAAAATAAATAGGATCTGAAGGTATTTGTGGAAAACAACTTGACAAAATTAATATCTTGAGATAAGTGCCAGTGCTTTCAAAGCCAGAGGATGGTTTTGTAAAATTTAAGTAGTAGTATACAAAATGCAGTTATGCTTAGAGAATTTATGAGTGCAAACTTAAATGCTAAAGGTTATAAGCAGTCTATTGTAAAGAAATTGACATCAAAGATGAAAGACATCACCTAAGAGAAAAAAACATTACTGAGTTACAAACCAAGTTGTTTTTTCGTATGGAAATTTCAGTTCAAGTGGCGATTTCAGGATCAAGCCACCACCAATACTGCTCTGAGAATCCAAGTTTCTTTTTAAATGAAAATAATCCAATAATATTAGATTAACTATTATATTGGGTCTAATTCCAAGGCTTGGGTAACTATGCAAATTTTTACTAAACGTATCCATAAAGTCTCTTCCAGTTGTAAAGAAATATTTGCAATGAAACTGTTAATGGAACGCCTTCTTGTGACGCATAATGCACTTGCTGACTTTCCAGGTATGACAGATGACTTGACAGAGGGACAGCATGAATTGATTGTATTAATGTGAGCTTTGAAGGGATTGGATCTGATGTATGTCTTGTAAGCTCATATTAATAAGAATGATTCACTGTGAAATATTTGTGTCTGATAGTTTGCAAATTGAAAGATTTATATCCACACTGGTGTGCAAAACTTAAGCAACAGCAGGATTTTTTGCCATAACTCCACGAGAAATCAACTGAGAGACATGAAATGCAGAAATGAAGGAGAGTATTATGTACGTAAAGGATGACGAAAGCATTGGAGCTGAAAAAGGAATACAATGCATACGGTATGGAATCGAACAAAAACAAGCTTTATTGAATGCATAGTATCGTGACTCATGATTGTCTAGCCAAGAGGAAGAACAACAAGCAGATGTTCCTTAATATTGGATAATATATGCCTTCCCCTCACTGCAATGGTTGCTTCGCACTGTCTCCGCATACTCAAAACCAGCTGGTGCAACATTTCTTGCGGTAGGAGTGCCCATTCCTCAATCAGCTTCTGTTTGAGTTGTTAGGTGTTCTCCGGAGGATGTAAGCGTGCTGCAATGTGTCTCCCCAAAGCATCACACACATGTTCGATGGGATTTAAATGTGGGAAGTACGCTGGCCAATTCATTCGAGTGATATCTTCACTTTCCAGTAGCTCCTCAACAGCAAGAGTCCAATGTGGCCGTGCATTGTCATCCATAAAAAATTAAGTCTGTGCCAATGGCACCTCGGAACAGATGCACATGGGGAAGGAGTACCTCCTCACAATAGCGATCCCCGGTTACAGACCCTCTGTCGAAAACGTGGAGCTCAGTTCGCCCGTTCAGCATAATGCCTCTCCAAACAAGAACTGCAGGACCACTGTTACAGTGTCTTTCCTTGATGTTACTGGGATAAAACTGGGTCCTGGCCTCTCTCCAAATTAAAACGCGTTGAGAAACGCTTCTGGTACTGAACCGACTCTCATCCGTAAAGAGGACATGGCTCCATTGATCAGTTGTCCAGTTTTTGTGCTCTATGTGCCACTGTAAACGGTGGTGTTGGTGGCCAACTTTCAATGGGAGGCAGCATTCAGGATGGAGGGAGAATAGGGCCCCTTTGTGAAGGGCATCTGGCCACAGTAAACCACAACACTTGCCGCCCCATTGCTGTACAGAGTTGCCGAGCAATGGGTGCTTGCTGACTGCTGTCGGCCTCTTTTCACTTGCAGGATGATATATCGATCATCCCCTGCAGTTGTCGTCCTCGGGCGGCCACCATCAACCTTTCTAACAGCTGTACCTGGGGTTTGGAATGCTTTCCAAGCACGCGAAATGACACTTGTTGATTCTGAATTCTGCAGCTACACTGGTGACAGTACGCCCCTCCTGCAGCTTTCCGATCATTCTTCCACGCGTGAAGTCATCCAGGTGATTTCTTGTAGCCATATTTCATGAACTGACTCACTGGCACTTGGCAGCGAATATGTTGAATTGCGTCTCCGTCCTTTCTTTTATTCTACTGTTGAGCTGCGCATGCCGACATCACGCATTTTGTGTACACTCACGTCGCCTCTGATGTTTCGTTCCTGATATTTGCATATGCATGACGTTTCTACTGACTTACGTGTTCATTGTACTGATCTCCAGACTTCCTTTTCTGCAATTTCATGGCTATTTGCTAAATTTTTACTTCATTGCTTAAGTTTTGCACACTAGTTTACTTCAGCAATTAGAAAATATAATAGCTCCATCAGCACCATTTTTCTCTAATGTGAGAATTTCTCTAATGTGAGAATAAAGTTGCAAAATCCATTGCAACAGAAAGGGAAGGTGAAAATGGAAATGAAAAATGTGTTTACTTGTTACATACGTGTTTACATGTTAACATGTATTTTAAAAATGGTACTTGATGTATTAATGCAACCATTTTGGTGCTGTTTAAATGTTAAGGTACTTATCAAGTGCAAGCAGGTGGTTTTCGCATCTTTTTTTGAACAGATTCCCAAAGTACTGATATTTATCATGAGCTGGCAAACAATAGCAATGTATGAAAAGTAAGTGTACTTAAGCAATTTCAAATGTAAATTTAAATTATTAAATAAAGATTGTATGATACATTAGAAAATAAAACACATTTATATACAAATTTTTTCTGTAATTTTTTTTTCACTATTCTACCCAATACTGCTTTTGCTTAAGAAAACATTGGAGAATTTTAGAGACTCAGCATCGTGCAAACATCGGCAACACCAAGTCTACCAAACATCGGCAACACCAACTCTACCAAACATATCTTTTGATTCATCCCTTAGAGATTTTGTGCCAAAATTCTGTATTTTTGCAAATATTTTACCACAGTTTCGTCCACTGCTGGTAAATTACACAAGTGCATATGTAAAAATTATGGCAGCAGGTATGATTTGTATGTGTATAAAAATATATATGTATATTTCTATAAAAACTGTTGGAACTTGGAATACAACAAAAAGGAAGGATATGAAAATGGCATTGTTGCTTGACTGAAGGCTTATTATGAGCATGGTTGCCTGAAGAATGTGTATGTGCAAAGTTGTCGGAGTTGGCACATTCTGAAAATTTGGTGTCCTCTTTCTTTTAATGTGGTTGCAAAACCACATAAGGTAGGCAAAGACATAAGGCAGGCTTTTAAAAACACATAAGTACCCTAAAATGTTCCAATTTTGTCCAAAATAATGAGAAATCTATATCCTGGATAGCATCACATTTAGTATTATCTGATACAAACTGTTTGTGATTTGTATAATATCATATTGACCAAATTCTGCATTTTGACCCTTTATTTGTATTCATTCTTTGTCTTTGTTTAAACTGATAATTTGTTAAAAAATTGTATCTTGTTGTTTATATAATATATATAAATATTTTCTTTTTTAGAGATGTCTGATATTTGTGATGCATTCATATCCTTTTATAGAAGTTTGCCCATTGTAAGTGATATTGAATTTAACTTACATTTTTATATAAAGATTAATTTTTCTTACAGCAAAACTTAGCTCAGCAATACTTATCTGATAAATGGTGTCGAAAAAACTGCAGCCAGTAATTTTCACAAAAAGCAGGAATGAAATAGTTTATTCAGATTTAGGATGAATTCATTTACTATATGAAATTAATAACTTTATTGGCTGCTGTAAAGAAATATTAATATCTAGTCTGCATAATATAGTTTTTAGTTTTGTTCTAGAAAAAGGTATCCCTGGTGTGGGGACATTAAAAAATATTTGCCAAGCCATAGAATTATTTCCAAAACAGCAGCTTACTAGCAATTTCAGAAAAAAGTAGTAGTTAAATTAAAAAGTTCAGTTGCAAATGTTGAGGATTGAAAGTGATGGTTGCATAGTAGAATTTTTTACACCAAAGAGAGCACTGGATTAAGTTTTTTTGACTAACAAAACGCAGTTTGACTAACAAAAAGATCTTGCTTTGTATCTGGTGGGATTGTCGTGGTATTAGCCACAAAGAATATCTGAGAAAAGGTTAAACCCACGACAGTAAGGTGTATACCAAAATGCTAGTATGTGTTGATACCGCTGTAGAACACTGTGTTGTGAAATTTGTAAACAAATATCGTTATCATTAAGTACAGGGTATCTGAAATGGAAATATCATACTACCAGATTAAAACCGTCATAAGGAAAAATGTTGAATTGATTTTTGTCACAAAAAGGTAATGTTCCACATTAAGATAATGCAAGACCACATGTGTCTGCATTCACCGGCTGGACTCTATACGGACTTGAATGGTCCCTTTTGTCACACCCATCATAGCCCCAACATCGCTCCTTCGGTCTTCTACTTTTTTCACACCTGCAGCTACATCTTGCTGGTGCTATCTTCCGTTTTGCACAGGAAGTCCGAAATGGGATTGATCTGTTTTTGGACTCACTGCACCAAGTTTCTGGGCTGAAAAATTTTGCGGAAAACTTCGGTTTTAACCAGATATATTATATTTATGTATCGCATTGTTCTAACATAAGTATTTTGTCACAAAATCAGACTTTTTCTGAAATGACATACAGATTTTTTCCATACTTTAATTCTACAGCTCAAATTATGCCTAAATATTAAATTTTGTTAAATTTGATCAGAAAAATTTGTTTCCCTTACTTTTTCCAGTTTGCACCAAGAATAATTTCATTTGGCAAAATTTCCAAGTTTGATAATTTATTTTTTTATCTCTTTCAATGTGCGTGAGCAAAAGAAATGGTGCATTGTTCATTCTTTCAAATAATTTTCTTTAGATTATATTTTTTAATCATAGTTATTATTTTTAGATAATTTTTTCCTTTTAAAATTTCACTTTAATTGTGCGAGTTGCATTTTTTTTGTTCAAATAACAGTTTTAAAATTTTTATTTATTCATTTTAAATGTATATTTTAAGTATATTTATTAATATAAATTTTCAGAAATTTGCTTTTATGTATTTGAATTGCATTTCTTTCAAAAGAATACTTTATGAGACAGACTATGATGCATTTGAAAACTGCACATGTTGGAAGAGATATACAGTAAAACACATTTAATATGTCTTTTAATGAGCTGTTCAAGAAAAATATATAAATGAGAAAGATTATAACCGACAGTTTAATTTATGATGAGCTGCATATATTGCCTAAACAGTTTTATCATCCAGCTAGTATAATATTTTTAAAATCGCAAGAAACGAATAGCATAAGATTTAAAAAATTTTGAATACTAAATTTTATGCAAAAGATTATTTTTTTTCTTCTTAATTTAATGCCTTGTTCTTTTTCTTCAGGCATATTAAAAATTAACTACCTTTTTTTTGTTCACTATATAGCACAAACATTTTTGAAACATTTTGGTATTTCTCACATTCATATAAGAAAAGGTATCACCTTTCGTTTCATCAGTATTTGGTCAGAGTAAAACAAGGAAGCAACTTTTACTATGACACTGAACGTTCTTTAGAGGTAGGCATTTTGAAGGCATGATAAGAAAGGATAGATTGGTTTCATCAATAGGTAAAAGGCTTTATGTGACATCTATATGCATCCTTAGATAAATTCTTATTCTTCAACTAATGTGACTGAAACATCTTTGTATTCTCCATTTATGATATGAGATGATGTTCTACAGTGTAGCTTAAATTTACGCAATCAAATAAATAGTCGCCCTTTACTCACTTTTGATGATGTTTCTTGTGTTTTTCTCCATTAGCAGCCCCTGGCATATTGATGCACTGCACTATGCGAAAAACGTTAGCAAAATATCGTTAAACCTCTCAGTTAATCTCCTCAAACATGCAGTTTTTTTTTTTAAGTGGACTGAAGATTGTTTCTTTCTGTATTTCTTCTTCTACTTTGGTTTCAGTGTGATTGGTTCATTGATTTTAGTGATACAAAAATGTTAAAAATTTTCGACCTTTACATTTCCATAAATTTTGTATTGTCAAATTCTTTTAAAATTTCAGTTCTTCAGGGAAACTTCTTTTAATTTTCCAGACATTTTAGAGCTATAAATAAAGTACAAAACAAAGCCCAAAGGACAAATATTTGAGTTAAAATGTTTTCACCAAATGACAAAGAAATAAGGCATCCCCAAACTTTTCTGATCAGCAGAAGGCAGGGTTTATTCTATCCCACTGAGTGACCCAATGCAAACAATCTAAATCATATTATTTCAACAATTTTTAGACCAACAATTTCCATATTAAAGAACATATTTTTTTACAAAATTTGTAACAGTACGAGAGAAAACTAGCTACTTGAAACATTCTTTGTAAGAAGATTAATGTAAAAATGTATGTTTCATGTGTTTTTACTAAAAGCTGGGATATAACCCAAACTGTCAAAGCTTAAATTATCTTGTTAAATAGTAATTTGAAACTATGTGCTATGAAATATATATATTATGAATGAGGTTATCATTTTTATGGGAAAAAGGAAAATATCAGTTCAAATATAGTCAAGTTTCCCAGAGAGCCAAAAATGAATAAACTCCCTGTCCCGAAAAATATTGAAAATTCGACCTTGAATTAGTTCGAATTTTGAAATGCATGCTTTGATATTCACTTTGACATACATTTGAATTCCTAGTATATAGTGTTTATTCACATTTTAGGGTAGAAGTTTTAGTATATATTATTCACTGTATGGCAATTAAGCAATCCAAGCAGATTAAAAAAATAGGCTATAAAGTTTACACTGATGCAACTTTCTACTTTAATGCAAGTACAACATGTAATGAAAGAAGCTTATAGAGGGCTATTTTTGACATTTTGCTAAAAGTAGAGGGTGTATTCCTTCTGGCTTCTCCATGTCAATTTATTTATTTATTTATTTATTTATTTTTTTGAGAGAGAGAGACAACTTTAATTTTCGGAAAAGGAAAATAAGTCGCAAAGAGACAAAATTGGAAAACAAACGGGAGGACTAATATACGTATTTATTTTGAGAGCATATTGTCTCTGCAATCTGCAGTGCAATTGATATCAGTGGAAGATTCATCATAGGGAGGATAATGTTTTCAAACTGAATAAATAACATTAAGATTAAATACCATCTGCGTAATTTTGAGCTATTTAAGTCAGCTGCTCAGCCAACCATTTAAAATTGCAGCACTTTTTTTGACACCTCATCTTGTAAGATAAATCCTAATGTTATTTTAATCTAAACAGCTGTTTAATCTTCCTAGGTGAATAACACAGAGAGATAATAATCCTGTCTTTAGTGTACATTCCAAAAATGTCAATGAATACAATTATAACATATGTAACTGAACGTTCATTTGCACAGTGGCTAGGTAGTGTAAAAGCTAATTTGTAAACAAAAACTATACTTTTTGTGCTTGAGAATATGACAATATTTGAAATTAATACCAAATAGGAAATTAGAGATTAAATTGCTCCTAATTTAAGAGTTTCTACCAGTGGCCAAATGGTTAACCCGCGAGAACGCGCACCCATTTCTGTGTTGTTCTGGAAGAACGAGTTCCTGTATTTTCAAAAAGAAGCGTCTGCTTCTGAACTGTGTGGTAGGATATGTTTCAGGGACATCAACAAATCCTGACATTAATAACAGCCTCATTTAATATGTAAAATAAAATAACCATTGGCTAGCGATTTCATATCATCGCTGTAGTGTATGGAGCCACTTCGTCGACAATGTCCACAGCTCATTTTGTAAGATTATAAAGCGTGATGGTATTCGTTTTTTGTTTCAATTCTGTGGTGGTTTCGTCTATTTTATCATCCGTATGAATTCTGGATAACATAACATAACTATGTTATTGTTCTTTTTTGCGGAATATGAAACAGTTGTTTCTTTTTAAAATCTAAAGACTGAAGAGTACAGCTCCTTTTTCTCCAAAAATCCAGGCATTATTTCTCTTTTATGTTGTTTGTTTCAACCATTCCAAGTTTATTTTTCAAAAGTTCTTGCGCTAGCTCATATCCTGTATACCAATTGTCAATTGTCAATTGTCAAGTTGCGTCTAGAATTGAAAAGCTGTGTCATCAACTGCGTCACAATGGATTTCGAGCTACAGTCCATTTTGAATGATCCATCGAGCTGTTGACCGGCATAAATCTCCATATTCCAGGTACAAAATACTCTAGAATCTACTAGTACAAATATCTTGATGTTATACTTAGGCCTTTTTGGGCATATATACTGCCTGAATTCGCACCACAGAAAACATTCCATGCATCTACAGGAGAAGCGACATCTCTTGAATAAGCTGTTTTACCTAGAAGCTTGCTAATTATATTCCTTGAAGACTTCCTAACATTTTGCAGGTATTTTTTCTTCTGCCATTTTGTAACTTTATCTTTACCAATATAAAAATCGATTGTTGACATTGAACTTTCATCTTCTGTTTCTGTCTCAATTTCGTAATTCGGTAAGAATCGTAATTGCTACAGTATTCAGTCCTTCTTCAGAGGCAATTCTATCATCAGATATAGGTTCATCATCACTAGAAACAGTCTTGATAAGGTGTTGAAAATATTTATTTTCTTCATCGTAATTCAAATAGTGCGTCATAATTCACTAAGCTGGCAGAAAAAAGGAAAGATCTGACTGACGCAAGGACTAGCATGGGTATGACATACCCCTGACACCTGTATCTCAAAATCAATTTTTAGAGCTGAACTAGTTTTTTTCCCCTGCTGAAAGAATGTGACTTTGAATATAGCTACACGAAATTTTGGCGTAATCTGATAAGAAGAAAGTAACCAAAAACATTGAATGAAAATGGATAGGGCATGTCATACCTGGTGCGAGTTCTTGCGAGTTAAATCTGCTGAATACTGGTAATTTGTCCCTGAATTCAAACCATATGAACGATCCTGAATGGTTGGCTTCCGTGATTTTCCCCATGTGCAATGTGAATACGAGACATTTTTCCTCACAGGAAGTCCTCTATGGAGGAATTCTACTCCTTAGGTTGATAGTCTCCATGTGCTTTGTCATATTTAAATAACAACCTATCTAATTTATGCGCGATTTCTAAATGCACATTTCTAAAGTAAGAAAGCCAGGATCTCGCCAGAAAACAGTGTAATTATCCATTCGGGAGGTATGTAATACATACAATGCCAATGGTTGAATTGCCATTACTTTCTTTCTGAACTTAAATTGTCATTCATTAGTTAAATTCACTTTATTTGTACTTTTTGGCCGAGTTGAACTTTTATTGGTATAAAATTAGCAATATATCCACAGAGAAAGGCGATTTTTAAATTTTTGACATTATTTTGCAAGAAAATGCTTAGTAAATTCTAATATAACAGAAATAATAATAATATTAAAATAAAAATAACAATGATCATCATTTATTATATTACCAATCATAAGAACTAAGATTTTGGCAAATCACAATTTGACTTTTAAAACTGTGATTATTCCAAATCCTATGTTTATATAAAAATATATTTTGCTTTGAAAAAAGGATCATTGATAATAATATTAGGTGCCCTTTCAATTGTAAGTAATAGTTTGAGAAAGTTGATATATATTTAATGCCATAAAATACCTTTGGACGTAAAACTTCTTCAGTTTTATTTTTATATGTTGCCTTTGCTTCACACAGAAAAGAAAATAAAAATGTTGATTCTAGTAAGTTTATCCACTGTTAAACATTTATATTAGTTGAAGAAAGCATGTTTTATTATTAATATTTGTGATGTATTGTTTGATATACAATTTTGAAATGTACAAAAATAAATTTCGTTGCATATAAAATGAAGTTAGCAGGTTGATAATGTTGGTGAAGGTAAAAATTTACAGTGTGAAAGGAGGAAAAAAACAACTTTTGATTAATAATTTTTATAAACTAAAATGTAGCTTTTCATGTATTATTAGTAAATTATTAAATAATCATGTATTATTAAATAATAATATTTATTAGCCATTATTAAAAAAGCGAATAAAGAAATTTTGTGTGAATAATCCTGAGTAAAAGTTTATTTGGAAATCTAAGGTTCAAAATAACTGTTGCAATTCATTGAAGATTATAACAAAGTGTGTAAACCACATTTGCCTAATTATTACTTATAACAAACATATCAAATTTCATAATGGCCCTAATGCATAAATTCGCATATATTTTGGGAAATTTTGAGAAAAAACTTATTTTTTGCATGTATGCCTAGAAATACACCTACTTTAAAGTGATGGTAAATATTTTATAGATTATTATTAATTTTTTTTTTCAAAAATTTAATAAAAATTACTAAAAAATACAAATTTTAAAGGTTAATGTGGAAATACCAACGAATTTTATTTGGATTGAACTTAAATTTCAAACTGCGAAAAAAGAAGTCAGTTTAATAACAACAACAACAACAACAAAAAAAAAAAAAAAAAAAAAAAAAAAAAAAGGTATTAATTAATATATACCAAATTCAATGAACATTGAGGAGCTTAAATTTTCAGAGCTAATTTTTTAAAAAGTACCAGTGCATTTTTACAAAACTTGGCACTTTAACATAATTTGAGTCATAGAAGAGAAATATGGGGAGGAGGGGTGTACCCGTATCGGAGAAAGTCAAGTTTTGTGTCAAAAATCCATGTTAGAAAAAACTGTGTATAAATCTAATATATATCCTAAGTCGCACTTTTGAGACATGAAAAATGCAAGTTAAATTTTGTCAATCAGCCAGAAGACCAAGAGATATAGGACTGGGCCATTTTATTTTGTTCAGAGTGTGCAGTGTACTCTCAATTATCCTTGTGCAAATATTTTACGAAAGTATGTTTAAAAAATGTTTTTTTTTTTGCTATTATTGAATGTATTTTTATTGCTTTTTTCTATTTTAGGTGAAGGGAACTTGCAGAATATTTGAAAGAAATGTATGTATTGTTTTTTTTTTTTTTTTTTTTTTTTTTTTTTTTAAATTTCCTAATCTGGATAAAATTTACTTACATATATAATCAATAATTATATATATATATATATTATTGTAATGAAACTGTGGTTTGAAGGTGGCAGAGTGGAAAGCATGATGATGCAATTTAGCACAACATATCTTGAAAAATCACAATCTTTATTTTTTCCAGGCATATCAAATAATCCTTTTTCAGACACGATATTTCTTAATAATATTTGAATAGAATAACTCCCATTTTGAAGTACGACGTCATCTTAAGCAAGTAAGCGGCAGCAGCATCGATGAAAAGCGTCTTACCAGCAGGAGAGCTAACGCGGAAAAGGGGAAGTTTATAGTACTTTCATAGCAAAAAGGCTGAAGTTTCAGTTCACAGTTTTGGTTTAGAATTAATTTGATTGGACGAGAGGCATCTGCATTAAAACGTTACATAAGATAGAAAAGTCTGGAACCTGTGAGAAGAGATGAATTTAGGGGTAGATCATCAATTATATTTTGAAACAGCTATCATATTTTTTTATATCTTACATATATATATATAATTTTAGAAGAATAACGTTTAAGAGCTTATGCTAAAAAATACATTTGACTCTATAGTTCCTTAGCAAAAAATATTAAAAAATCATTCAATAACTAGAAACAATAATAAAGTAGTAAAAGCAATCTCGTAAAAACTAAATGATAAAATTACAAGTCGAGATGATTTTAAAATAAAAAAATCTGATGTGTACACCACATGACTTCCTTGTACAGAATATTAAATTATACGCATTTTTTCTTGCATTTCATTTAAACTTATTGGATTGAATTAAATCTACTTCGCCGACAGTGCATAAACCACAATAGAATAAATGCATTCTTTAAAATTCACTCTAGTATTTCTTTACCATAGCGACACTCTGGCGCTAGACTCACTTAACAGTATTAATAATTATATGACAGTTAACTTATATAATAATTATATAACGGAAACTAAGTTAACTGTTATATAATCCAATAATTATATAACAGTTAACTTATATATTTCGTTCATATTATAACTCATAATGCACAAAATTTATATCATTTAAAGAATAGAATTATCTAATTGTTGCCACATGTTCTATTCAAATACTATAATAAAGCTAGAATGATGTATAAAAGAAATTAAGCAAACAAAACAAAAAAGAAACAGTTTTTCACAGACGATTGAGTATTTCTCATTAAATTAATTCAGTTCTCACTTCGCGAGAAGGCAAAAATGCATAAAAACTCAAAATATCTATATTAAAAATTACGAAGTAAATCTTAAACACTTATTTCCTCGAAAAAATTCCAGAAAGAATTTTGCATGATTTAATTGGCAATAATAAATGAATGCGTTATCTTTGTTGTTGGGAAGTTAAGTTTCTCTAGATTGACAACAAATCCACTAGTCTCTGTTTCAAATGTAAACATCAATGTCCGCCATATAAAAAAGGCTTAGCGGCACTTAGACAACTTTAAAATTGTTGATAATTCTCAAAATATTGCATACAGATTTACTAAAGGCATAAAAACCTTAACCGGAAGATAAAAAACAATATACAATCATTTTTAAAGCAAAAAATGTACAATTTACAAACATATAAGAGTAAAGAAACTGAGATCACTGAGCCGGGTAACAGAGTGGATATATATATGAATATATTTATATACGTTTGGTGCGACCGATTGCAACCAAAATATGAGGTACACATCTACATGTTATTGCAGTCCTATATACAAAATTTCAACGTTCTGAGGCTACTCGTTTTTGAGTTATGCGAGATACGTACGTACATACGTTCGTACAGACAGCACGAAAATTTCTCTTCAGAATTAATTTTAAAGCAGTTTTATAATTTTTTTGAAGGAAAAGAGTATTTTATTCTGTCCTTACCTACAGATATCACGCAAAAACATCGTTAAATTGCATTCGATAGCGGACAAAATGGATGTTTTCGTTGAAATATGCTGCCTGAAACTTTTCGCGATTACAATACTACTTTTTTATTTCGTACAAGGAAGTAAAAAGGGGTGAGAAAAATTAATAAATTTTAACACACAAATAATTTGAAAGAACTCTTGTAAAAATTAAACATATTTCAAAAATACACGATATGTACAAAAAATTGCAACAATTTAAATCAAAATGTAAAACTTATATTTAACAAGAGAAAAGCTTTACAAGAAAGCTCAGTTATGCAAAACTACAATTAAAATAAAATAGCTAAAAGGCTGTAATTTAAAATGTAAATGTAAGCTGTAATTTAAAATGTAAATGTAAAACTTACTATAAAACAACAAAAAAAAAAAAACTATACACGAAAGCCTAGTTAAGCAAATTCAAGTAAATAGCTTAATAAGCTATTAGTCTAAAAATTACACAATTTTAAGGGATAACCCTCTAATTTGAAAATTATAAACTTTTTAAGGAGAAGAACGAAAAGAAACATAATAAAAACGTATTGAAATGGGGTTTGCAAATACCAAAGAATAAAACAAATTAACGATGAAATATACTTACGTCCAAGTCTGTGGTCTGCTAAACATAAAATGATCAAAATAGCTGCACAGGGTTGCCGTAAAATGTAGCTTTCTAGAGGAGTGTTACCAGATAAGCAAAGTAGTTAAATTTCTCCAATACCGTGAAGCTTCGTAGAAGGGGGAAATGGTTGAAAAAAAGGCAATAGTCAATGGTAAGCAATGGCCAAAGGGAAAAAACTTGTCTTTTTGGTTGGGGGTGTCAGAAGGTAAATGATGTAAGCTATTTTTAACAACATGGTGTCTTGTTCAAAACTGTGTCATGAAGACATGTGAAGCTGAAAAACAAAATGACTAACTTTTAAGAAGGTGCTAATCTAGCCAAAAGGAGTTGAAATTGGAAAAATTTACAATTTTTTAATAAAAAGTCATAATTCTTCGCTCTAGAGGGCGGTCAAGCGTCTTTTCAAATGAAAATAGCCGTTAGAATTAATAAAAGAATAGGTATAGCCAGAAAACAGCATTATTAAATAATAAATTTAATATTTTAACTGATAGTCTGTGCCAATTAAGAGAATAATGGAGTCAGTAGAAGAAAACTATGTTACATTTTTACATTAGATCAGTTGAATTAGCCATCCCTTAGTTACCTTCCCTTGAGATTTAAGTAAAAATTTCATTATCTAATTTGAATAATCTAAAATAAGAGGTAAATGCCAGCTTTTTTAAAGATATTTTTAATGATAGCTTTTGGATAGCTTTTTTGATAGCTTTTTTCTTTTGGAAGATAGTTTTGTAAGATTTTAATGAAGTAGAGCATTTCTTCTTGAAGGAGGTCTGCATTATTACAGATTCTTTTGATTCTAAGAAGTTGTGCATAAATGGTATTGATAATGACTTTTTTAGAAATGTTAGAAAACCAATTAGTAAGTTTAAGTGCATGAAAATTGAAATCTCTGTGCTTTTCATATATTTTAATAAGATTTTAATTGAGAATTTGTAACCATATATCATTTTGAATGTGACATTAAATTTGAGGCAACTAGGGTAAATATTAGCATGTTCTAGTTTGTTAAAGTTATTAAAGGCAATAACATCATCAATATATCAATATATGTGTTGGTAATATTTTCGTTCTTCAAGATCAAGTGAACATATAAACTTAAATTCCTGCTTAAAAAGGAATAGCCTACAAAATGCAGTTGAGCAGTTTCCGCCGTAGGTATTCCCTGTACTTGTTTAAAGATTGTGTTATCAAATTGCAAATAATTGTTAAAAAGTACACTTTTGAGGAAAAGTTTCCATTTTTCAAGAGAAATAATTCTGAGAATCTGTGGGAAAAAACTGGGGAGAGTAAGGAGACTACTATGAATTTCTTCTAAAGGTAAAGTGGTATAAAGGTTTTCGAAGTCGTAAGATTGAATATGCTCTGTTTCAAGTAAATTTAATGTCTCGAGAATTTTTTTATTGTTATTAATCATCCAATTACAGTGTAGATCTTGAAAATCGTAATTATTAACAACATCCAGAATTAGTTGAAGTTTTTGGGCAAAGAGATAATCAGTTTCTTTTAGAAAACTTTTAGTACTGTTAGCAATGAATCTGAATTTGACTGGAGTTTTATGAAATTTAGGAAGAGCATAGCGATTTGCAAACTTATTATTTAATTTGTTAGGATGTATTTTCAGTCTCTTATGCTGCAAGGCATTGAATTTTTTAAAAGGAATTTTAGTGTTGGAAGAAACTTGTTGATAAGTGCTAGTGCTAAGCAACTCTTTTTGTATAAGCTCAAAATAATTGTTTTTTCAGTACTGAAATTATTACTTGCCTTGTCTATTTTGGTAATGATGAAACGTTCTTGTAACTTTTTAATTTCAACTCCTTTCGGCCAGATTAGCACCTTCTTAAAAGTTAGCCATTTTGTTTTTCAGCTTCACGTGTCTTCATGATACAGTTTTGAACAAGATGCCATCTTGTTAAAAATAGCTTACATCATTTACCTTCTGACACCCCCAACCAAAAAGACAAGTTTTTTCCCCATTGCTTACCATTGACTATTGCCTTTTTTCATCAGTTTCCCCCTTCTACTTCACGGTATTGGAGAAATTTAACTACTTTGCTTATCTGGTGATAACACTCCTCTAGAAAGCTACATTTTACGGCAACCCTGTGCAGCTATTTTGATCATTTTATGTTTAGCAGGCCACAGACTTGGATGTAAGTATATTTTATCCTTATTTTGTTTTATTCTTTGGTCTTTGCAAGACCCATTTCGAAACGTTTTTATTGTGTTTCTTTTCGTTCTTCTCCTTAAAAAGTTTATAATTTTCAAATTAGAGGGTTATCCCTTAAAATTGTGTAATTTTTAGTATAATAGCTTATTAAACTATTTAGTTGAATTGTACATTTGCTTAACTAGGCTTTCATGTATAGTTTTTTGTTGTTTTATAGTAAGTTTTACATTTACACTTTAAATTACAG